AATTGGTGGTTGTAAACCCAATTTGAGAAAGGAACGGAGAACTTTGGTGGCGGTGGTGGTGGTGGTGGACAAGTTGAGGGAAAAAAGAAAAAGAGAGAAGGAAATGAGGTGGGGGTGGGGGTGGCGGTGGCGGCGACGGTGGTGGTGGTGACGGTGACGATGGCAGCAGCGGAGGAGGCGGCAGCACCAGTGGTGGTGGAAAAAAGAAAAAAAGGAGAAGGAAATGAGGTGGTGGTGGTGGTGGTAGTGGTTGTGGCGGCAGCGGTGGTGGTGGGAAAAAGAAAAGGAGAGAGAAGGAAATGAGATGGCGGCTTAGGGTTTGAAAAGCATGATTTTTTTAATCGTTAATGAATTGTGATTGATGTTCTTGTTCTTTTGTTTGGCCTCTGGGTTTGAATTGATGGTTGTAAGAGAAAGTCAACAATTTTATTATATAAAAAATTGGAAAACTGAATTACAGATGCATAAGCTCGCCGGAGAAACTCCCTTTAAGAACCCACGCTGCCGGAAGTACCAAAAACTCAATGTTTCGTGGGATTTTTACAACAATTCTGACCAAAATCTGGATGCCTTATGCAATCCCTGATTAGATCTGGAGAAAAATACAAAAGGGGTTTTAGAGTTCTTTTAGGGTTTTTGCTAGAGAGTTAGAGAGAGAAACTCGCAATCCATCCAAACCGCCGTTTGAAGTCAAGATTTCGTCCCAACCAAGGAATTGGCTTTGGAAAAACCATCCTAGACGTTCAATTTGTTCAAATCCATCAAGAATCAAAGAAGAACAACAGAGAGTGGTAACGTCGATTCGAGAAAGGAACCGAGAACTCACGCTCAAAGTTGGAGACTAGAGAAACGTCTTACCAAAGTCATTTATGAACTCAAGCCAAATCTTTACTCAATTTCAAAAAATTTCATTTTTTTTCAAACAAAAAAAAAAAAAAAGAAAAAAAAAACCCCAACTAACAAATCTACTCAATAAAATGAAAATCACAAACAGTAATAACAGTCAGTACAAAAACTCATGTTTAGACCTTACATCATCCTTCAACCACTGGGAGTTGGAGCTTGGTTGGTTCCAAAACTACTGCAAAATCTGCAAGTTTTTCCATAAACAAAAAGACCCATTTGAATTAACCCAATTTCAGATCGAAATCAATGAAAATATGGAACAATATGCAGATATCAAAGTCGATGAGAGCATACACGATTTCCAGATGCAACCATGGAAGAAGTTGGGCAATGAAAGAGTAAACGACATCTAATTCACACTGTTCGTCTGCATCACCGTTTTGTATTGAACAATTGAAGTTTAATATTGTAACCCATGTGCATGTGAATGCAAAATAGGTTAGTTTATTTTGAATGAATCTTCAACAAGGTTAGAGGAGATTCATAATAATATATTGTTGTTGTATTTTTCAGACCACTATTAAGGGAAATTGTGAATATATTCTGAAATATTGAGGTTTTGAAAAGCTTGATTTATAATTGTTCATGAATTTTGAGTAATTGGGTTGTTTTTATTTTGTATTCAAACTAGTTTGTAACCCCTCCATATTTAATTTAAAGATTTTTCTATGGTAATTTGAAATTATCCTTTAAAAAAATAATATGAATTCTAAATTTAAAAAGGAATGTAACACGTTAATGAGTAGGTGTTTACTTATCTATATTTCGGATACTTAAATGACTTGTAAATTCTTTTCAACTATGGTTTTTTATATTATTTTGTTAATAAAATAATTATATTCCATTTTTGTAAGCTAATAAGTGTTAGCTTTTATTGACTTTTCTACGTTGCATGTCTTCAGATTCTTTAGTTTTTTCTGTTTAATTATTTAAATAAATTATATTTAATTCCCATTAGGTAATAATTTCTTAAACTTTTGATTTTGTATTTAATTGTGATCCCACTTTTATTGGTAAGGAGAACAAAACACGAGGGTATGGAAACCTCTCCCTCTCTCCTTATCTCTCCTTAGTAGATGTGTTTTAAAAATCTTGAGAGGAGGTCTAAAAGGAAAAATCCAAAGAGGACAACAGATGTTGGGCCTTCAACTGAGTGGATTTGGTGGGGTCCCACAACGATTGGAGAAAATAACAAGTGCCAGCAAGAACGTTGAGTCCTGAAGTGCTAGATTATGAAATTTCACATTAGTTGAGAAGGAGAACAAAATAGTGATTAAATCTCTTTAATTTTAGAAGGGGGATTGGGGTGGATGCAAACACTGTGAAACCTCTTTGAATTTAATTCATTAAATCTCTAACAAATACAGACAAATGCACCAAAATCCTCCAACCATAGTCAATAGAGTCACTATCACCTTCTAAATCCACCTAGACAAATGCACTCGAAAATGATGTTGCAAAATTGGAAATTTGAAAAGCTGAAATCCGTCGAGAATCGAAGAAGAACCAAAGGTAAACATTTCGAATAAGGAGTAGATAAGAGAGTATAGTAAAGTCGATTTGAGAAAGGAACCGAGAACTTTGAGCGGGTAAGAGAGTGCAATTTTTTTTTGTGTTTTGAGAACGAAGAACTTCTCACTTCGATATCTCTTACCAAAGTTGTAGTTTTTATGGTTCTCGTTACTATAAAAACTTCTCGATCAGATCTACAACTTTTATGAAGAAATCGAACGAGACTAGAAAAATACAAAACAACAAACGAAAAAAGAAGCATAAAGTGCAAAAACTTCTCTCTTTTCATATATCATAGCAATTCTTGTTTCTCAAGTAGATCTACCACTTTCATAAAAGAAACACAAGGCTGAAGGCCAAATTACTCATGAGTTCAACCCATATCCATAATTTATGATTCAGTTCCAGAATTTTCATTTTTTTAAGATAAAAAAAAGACAACAAATCAAAATCCGAAACAATAATAACAGTTGGTTTGAATAATACAAAGCATAAAAGGTAAGATAAAAAGACAACATTGTTAGACCTTGCATGGTGCTTCTACCACCGACAGTTGGAGCTTGGTTGGTTCTTTAGTTGGTTCTTTCTCTATAATTTCTTCCTCTTTTGAACCCGTTATGGAGTAATATGCATATATAAATAGTTGGAGAACACCCGAAACTACTCCAATACTATTGCAAATCTGCAAGTTTTTCCATAAACAAAATAAACCCAATTGAATTAATCCAATTTCGGATCGAAATCAATAAAAATATCGATATGTTAAAGAACGTACCAAAATGTAGATATCGAATTTGATGAGAGCATACGATGTCCAGATGCAACCATTGAAGAAGTTCGCCAATGAAAGAGTGAAGGGCATGTACTTTACACTCCTAGTTTGTATCACCTTTTTCTATTGAAACAATTGAGTTTAAAATTTACGTGATAAAAAAGTTAAAAAAAAGGTTAATTTATTTTGAATGAATCTAAACGAACTTACCATGATGGTTAGAGGAGAGACATACATGAGGACGTTGAAAATGTCACAAACGATTCCAACTAACAACGATCGATTCTTTGTTCCATGCAATGCAAGTGTGGTTATGTGAATGACAATCGAAACGAATATGAGCTCGATCAGTATGGATATGCACACTTTCGTCTGAAATAACACGAAACCGCGAACAATGTCATAAATTTTGGAGATTTTTTATTGAATCAAATGAAATTTAGAGGGAAAAAATGAATAAGAATATCATACACGGCCTCTATAATCAGCAAAGATGAAGAAAATGGTCAAGTAAATCATCTCCAAAACAAGCCCAACGGAGTTAATAGTGATGACCAACATGCTGTCCGGATGAACAAATGGCATGCCATAGAACACCCAGAACATACAATTCAGCACCGTTGCAATATAAGGATCTGGCTTGAACTCCTCCACTGATTTCTTCTTAATTATTTGGTAAAACGTTGGTCTACATAATGTTTTATTTCCATGGAAAGGTTAATTAATGATTCGAATAAATTAAACGAGATCGAAGGAAGAAGAGAGCTTACAATGGCGAGAGAAACAAACCGAACGAGATGACATTGCCTGCATGATTAAGAAATATAGAGACTAAAATGAAACGAAACTAAAAAATTCCAACACGAATAAGATAACAGGATGAGAAGTAGTTACCAATAACGCCGACGATAAACCGAGCAAGATCAGCACTAACCATCTTCGATTTCGATTTCAAACGAGACGGAAGTAGAGACGTGAATGAAACGTGAAGCGGGTGAAATTTGAGAGAGGGAGAGAGGTTGTTTAAGAATGAAGAGAAGGGTTTGTTTGAATGTTAATGAAGAGTGATTGGGAGTAGGAATGGTATGTCAGAATGATTCCATTGATTTGGAGTAGGAATTTGATGTCAGATTGATTGATTCAAACACTTTTGTCGGCTTCAAATCTTTGTCTCTCTCCCAGAGAATTTGAGGGCAAATCAATGCATGGGGGGTGAGGAAACAGCGTCAAAATTGGCCTTTATATACCCACAAATGGCTATTTTTTAATTGCTTGAAGCACATGCACTCAACAATTTGATACTCAAATGGGCGTGGATTAGTGGATAAATATGTAGGATGGCCCGTGATGGGTGTAGGGATGCTTGTTTTTTCAATTTTATTTCTGACTCACTTTTTGAAAGTGGCAGCTTTATGTATATGGTGACATATATTGATTTTTCTTGAGTTAGGCTTTGTGTAAGAGGCTTTATGAGTTGTCTTTCATTAATAAAGGCTTTGTTTTGTTCATAATTTGGATGGATATGTCACATGAAAGTTGACCTTCATATCCATACTAAAACCCTACTTTATCACTAATAACATCTATGTTTTACTGCAACGATATGAAGATCGATCGTTGAGCTGGTTTAGTGTGTCGGTATTTTTAAGAGTTTAATTGAATCTTGCAACGTCGATTTTTCATAACAAGTGAAATGAGTATGGAAATTAGTTGAGGTAGACAGAGATTTTGAGTTTTGTCTTGCCAATATCACTTCAATGTTGTAGCCAATCAGTGCATCATTGTGGTCTAGCCGAACTAGAGAGTTTTAAACGAGTATATGTTTGATGACGGTTTTGTAAATGTTATTTTTTTAAGATTTATACGTTTAAATATTAGTATAAATATATTTACTCTAACCCATCATGATAATTACAAACCATACTAAAATAACTATTATTTTTAAAAAAAAATTAAAATTAAAATAGACGTTTAAAAAAAAAAAAGAAGAGATGGAAATAAAATATTTAAATAGAGGCGCATGTGATTTATTTTATTATTATTATTATTATTTTGTTAAATTCAATATCCTTTTATCTTGTGGGAGTTGTGTGAACATAATTTTAATATGTAATTTTTTAAGCAAAAAAAATTGTGAATTATTTTGAAAAAGAAAAGGAAAAAGAAATTTAATCTTAATAATGGCATTAGAGACAATAATGATGACATCGAATATATGAAAATGATTAACTTTAGATTTTTATAAATAAAAATATGGGGGATTTTCTGCATGTGATTAACTATTGAAAAAATAAAATAATTATATAATTATTTTTTTAGATAAAAAAAGGAAAGAAAAGAATGTATATTGGAATTAAAAATAAATAAATAAAAAGAAGAAGAAAAAAAAACATACTTTATAAAATCCAATGTATGTACCCATAATTGGTGTATTATTTGAAGAAAAGTATTTCAGTTAGTAAAATAAATAGTATATATTAGTTATTATTATTATTATTATTATTATTATTTTAACACGAAAAGCAGATAAGAAAAGGGTAGCATAGAGAATATTTAGCAATTCAATCATTAAAGTTTCAATCATAGTTCAAACATTACTTAATCCCATTTTCCAAAAAGAATTTCACATGTGAGAAAGAGAATTTCAATAACAAGAATATGAATAAAATTTTAAAAAGTTTAAAAAGTACTCATAATTAATAAAATAAAATTCATTTTTATTCTTTAAAAATGTTTAGTGGAATTTATGTATTTATTAAATACAATAGAAACAAAATCATATTTAAAAATTTTATTTTTGTTATTTTGACGTCCGACATCAAAGTAATGAAAAGGTACATAAATGAACCGCTACCTCATTCAAACAAGAGAGATACCGAAAAATCGATAATTAATAAAAGTTTAAAAGAATTGAAATTCATTATTTATATGCACGAACATAATAATAATAATAAAACTTTGGTATGATTAGCCAGTAGTATATTTTATAACATGATTCCATTGTTACAATATTTATGTAATTTGAAGCATAATTAAATTCAAGTTGTTCATTTTATACCATTTTACAACATATTAATTTAATCATTTTTTAAGCAAATATATAATAAATATGAAATAATAAAATTAAAAAAAGCAGACTAGCTGGATTTCACAAGCTTTTTGTTTCCATTATTCTCCCTTTTACACCTTTCCAGACTAACGTACATTTGGAATACAAAAAAATTGGGCCAAGGCCATTATTGTCATTTTCCATAATCATATTTGTATTTTTTTTTTTCATTTTTTGTGGGTTGTTTTAATTCTTTAGATAAATAATTTAGATATTTGATAATTATATTTATTTCGTCTAATAAAAAAAAAAGTCCCTTTAGACTCTTCTATATTAAAATTATTCGTCCGAAACACAATTCAGACATCGTGATTAAACACAATAAACCAAACTCAAAAGAAATTTGCTTAATCACATTTTCATTATTATATATATATATATATATATATATTTACTTCATTCAATATTTTGCTCGTATAATATAAATAACAAACATTCGTCAAGTATATATATATATTATTATTTTATTATTATTATATTGTCCATCGATATTTTCGTAAAATTTAGATCGCAATGCATATACCAACATCTTAAACCTCATTCCTAAATAGGATTTCAAATTTAATGATTAAAAAAAAAAAAAAAAAAAAAA